AATTATATCATTAGAAACTAATAATTGTTCAAAAGCACTTTCTTATGTATGAGGTTAACAGACTAATTACATAGTATGCGGACTCAGAAATATGCAATGCAACTGTGAGAATTGTTTATAATGCTGTAATCTTATAATCTGTATAGGTATTTTTCAGCAAGATGTGCCCTTAATGTTCACAATCATGTTAAAGCCTACTTAATTAAAAACAATGAATACTGAATTAATGATAAAATATAAAAGTCGAGCATACCTGAAAGACTGATTTAATAATATGTGTTGTCAAATGCAAGAAAGGCATAGCAATTTAAAAAAAAAAAAAATTATAATAAATAAAATGCCAAATAATAAAATGTTAATGCAAAAAAATAAATAAAAACTCAATCATTAAGTGATGTTGGAGATGCAGTTAGATAAAATTTTACTAATTTTCAAGGAAGTTCCGATTTTCCATACATTTGCGAAAATTTCCATTGTGCATGCCGTTTTTCGTATAAATATTTTCCCCCTTTTTTAATTAAAAAAATGTAAAACTGCAGTAGTATTACATATTTTAAAATGCATTTAAAGAAGGTTATTTAAAAAAATGGCTACTTTTCGAAGCACATCCCAATACTAAAAAGATACCTATACTTTTGTAAATACAACTTTTATCAGTACTTAACATTCGAACGTGTGGATTGGATTGGATTGGATTAGTGTTCATATGATGCACAACTTGGAAAGGTTATATTATACATGTTGAGAATACATAATTAAAATACACAAAAGAATTAAAAACCAGCACAAATTTAACACAACAGACATAAAAATCAAAAGAAGTAATAAAATGATGAATATTGAAATGAAATTACTCATGATTGATATAAGAAATATAAAATGTGAAGCAGCTATAAAATCTTTAAAGCATGAAGTATTAAAGCAAATTTTCTTAAAACACAAGGGTATTATGAAATTAGATGATAAAAAGCCTGTTTCTTTCAAGTATTAAAATAAATGAGTATTGAACTCTTTCCCAATTACCCGTTCAAGAGACAAGTCAGAGTCATGAAAATACTTTAAACGAAGTGTGTTAAAATATGAGCAGTCAGTTAAAAGGTAATGCACTGTCAGAACACTTCAATGATAACAAACAGGTTCACTCTCGGCCTTGAAAAGACATGAGAGTGACCAATCCTTAGCAATGTTAACAACACTTTCTCTCTCCGGTTTCTAGTGCTTTCCCAGTATTCCACCTTAGGCTTCACATTTCTCAGTTTATTCAGCAGCTGACCATCCCAGAAGAGTTGCCATGTGTTTAGGATCCTGATAGTAATGGCCTTTTTGATATCGCTCAGAGGACAGGCAGATTTAAAAACACAGAGACAGACTTTGCTGTTCTGTCCGCTAGCTCATTTCTTTTTATACCTGTTTGCCCCGGACACAGCAATAAAGAATTTCACAGCCATGTTTCTTTAAATTTTGATGTAATTTTAAGATGTTAATTAATAAAAGATTATTTGCATCAGAAAAACTTTCTAACCCTTAGAAAACTAGATGAGTCTGTGTAGATGATAAACTTTTTCTACTGTAGCTTAGATATGAAAGTGAGAGCAAGATAAACAGCAGTTAATTCAGCACTATAAACAGAGAAAGCATCATGCAGTCGTTTGCCCTCAGTATGGTCTACAATTACAAAGGATGCTCCTACGTGATCAGCTCTCTTGGAATCATCTGTATATACGGGAGTAAAAGTGCTATATTCGTGCCTGTGCTTGCAAAAAAAGCTGCCTATATACAATCTCACTAGCATTATTCTTATGAAAATGGAAAATATCCCGAAATTGAATTTGCCAGCTGTCCCAAAGTGCAATTTCAAGATGCTTTACTGCTTGGACTTTTACATCTGACAAGCCGTATTTTTTTATCAATGATTCAATTTTTCAAAGAATGGAAGAATGTTAAGAGGCCTTGCAGAAAATAAGAGTTTATAATAGTCATCAAGTGTATAAATCTGGTTAGGATGGTCCGATTGTGACATAATAGTGAAATACTAAGTGACAGTTGCTCTCAGCCTAACTGAAGCGAGGATTCATAGCTATCAACACATAGGCTCTGGATAGGAGATGTTCTAAAGGCTCCAGAACAAACTCGCAGCATTCAAACATGTGTGTGGAGCTATTTTACCCCAAATTTCACATAATGGAATACTCCTCTTAACCCATTAACCGCCAAAACTACAAGGAATGTTTCTTTTCTCATTAAAATAATAACAAATATTAAATTAAGCATTTATAACATAAATTTACATTGAAAATAAAAAAAAGCTCTACCTGTGGAAAAACGCGAGTGTTGCGTGTGCAAACGTCGTGGAATACGACTACAGATGTTTATGAGTAGGATGTGCTCGTGTGAGTTTCTTTGAGTGGAGCGCAGGATTACTTTTAGCTGTATAAGTTTAAATCTCCAAAATTACTTTACTTGTAATATTTAATATTAAAATGTACATTGTATTTCTTTACATACAGATGATTTCAGTTGAAAGATTCAAGCGGAAAGCTTGATTACAATCATGATGTAAAGCTACATTACAAATTTGCATCTATAACAGTCGGCTATGGTACTCCTTTACAACAAGTCTTTGTTATCAACGGACTTTACGATAAAATGTCTACCATCCCCAGCAAGGTTTTTGAATGCTGAATTTACTAGGTCTTCCTGTTGCTGATTATTTCTGTCTAATTCTACACTCTCATAGGAGTTTGCAAAAGGAATAATGCATTCTTGCATCTGAAATCTAAAAGAGACTTTAATTCCCAGTAGTAAAAAGTGGTGATATTTAGTAAGTTAGATACTGTCCACCTCCCATATAATTATCAGTATTGTCAATTTGACTATTGTCACAATGCAAATTCTGTTCATATTCCGTACTGCAAAACGTGATATCAATTCTCGTACAACAGGAACAGAAATGTCCTTATCAAAAGACCAATAAATTTTTTCTCGAGGGAAAGAATAATATCCTGTAAGCAATAATATTCTAATTAATCTTCTCATAAAGGCTTCAAATGCAATAAATTCTGGGCCTTTTTTTTTTTTTTTTTTTTGTGCGTATATATTTGTCTGTTCAACGAGAAGAGTGTAAATGTCTAAACCAAAACGAAAATCAAAAATCTGTGGACTAGTTTTACCTTGTATTTCGTCTTTTATAATTTCTCTTCTGTCCTTTCTTCATGTTCTTTCCTGAGACATAACTAACAGTTCCTTTTTATCCACTTCAGATTTCAATCTTCTGTTTTTTAAACTTTTAGTAGGACTACTATAACTGCTTTTAGAAGACTGAAACTTACTTCTCACGTGAATTTCAACTTCCCCAGCAGTATCATTTGGTAAAATGTCATTATCATTATTTAAAACATTGCCAATCCTTTCTTCTTCGTCACTAGTTTCTGCAATTTCTGGGGGAACAACAACAATATCAGTTTCATTCTGGTCATTATTAACATTATCATCATCTGTTTCTTCATCAAAAAATCTTTGAAGGGCTCCTTTTAGTGTAAGTTACCTCTTTCTAGGCATTTTTAAACAACCACATCATCAAGCAGAACATTGAAAGAAATGAGTGAAAAAGGAGATTGATTACCCGTTTCCTGCTGAAGTTGTGTCAACGCAACACCTGTTTTTCCTTGCTTCCCAACACAAATATAAACATCTGACTGATGTAATGTTCTGATAAACGGTGACCTTGACTAAAAATAGATCACTCATAAAGACAGCGATTCTTTCGTTAAATATTTTCAGCAAAAACACCCGGTCAAAAAATTTGCTAAAATTTTGCTTAAAGTATGAGATTAATTATTATAAACAAAATGACTGTTGAAGGCAAATATTTTTTTACAGAAATAATCTTCATAATATTCCCTATACAAAATCATCTGCTGGTATAAAATATCTTAGGTAGTTATATTTATATACACAATTATTTTGACCGTTGCGTCAACGCAACACCAGCCGGCTAATGGGTTAAACCATGATTCATTACCACTTCATTTCTTCAGTAGCTCTCACCAAGATTATGACCTTTATTTTAAATCAGGTCACAAATTTCTAGTTTCTTCATTTGCTAATTAATTATTATGCTATAAATATTATTCTGGGGTCATATTTAACCCCTGTGTGTCCTCATGTAAGTTTAAATTACTTGAACTCGCGTGCATAATTTTTCAATGAATTTTCTTCTTTAATTTTTGCTTTTAAAAATTAAATGTAGTCATTTTTAATACATAATGAAATGTATGAGCATAATCACTAAGTAAAAAAAGTTATGACTTATCAGACAACAGAAATGTTTGAGAATATTTTGTATCACATCAATGAATTTTTATAGTATATTGATTGAATTATTTTTTCTAAGTAATGTAAAAATTTTTGGATTATTAAATATTACAGAATTTTGCATTAATTTTGATTAAAATATTATATTACTTCAGAAGATATATCAGGAATAAATTATTTATGTATAGAGAAAAAGGGAAAAAAACCTAACCTAATAATAATTATAAATAATCTACTAATAATTGCATTTTAATATAGAAAAAATACTAAAATTATTGTTTATTTATTTATTTTCATTTGATATGAATGAAAAAACATGTAATTATAATCTACAAAGTATACTTCAAGCAGTAACATTTTGAGAAACGATATATTGACAGTGGGGTCAAATATAACCCACGCATGTCCTCATGTATAAGAATGCAACATACGTCATCTCAGGTTAATTATTTTGTGAAACTTAAAAGTTTGTATAGATATGAACAACAGTCTGCATGAATGTAGGAATATTTAAACTACAAACTAAGATTAAATATGCCCCCAAAAATGATTATAACTATCAGATTTAATCAATCCTGATTCAAATACAACAAACATGTAACAAATTATGAAATTCAAAATTAGTAATTTTTCATAAGCACATTTAAATAACAATATAATAACTTATAACAACACAATTTTCTTACTATCTAAAATGGGTGAAGATGATATTTCATCACTTTGCGGCTCATCTGGATCATTAATAAGAACTTCACGTAATTTTGTATATTTCTTGGTAGAGCTTGATTTTTTCTTGCAAGGCTTTTTTTCACTTTTCAGCTCAGAGATTTGTTCCACACTATTTTGGCTTGTATAAGAAGAAAAGCTGACATCATCAAAGCTACTTTTATCAGATAATTTAGGTACATCATCTAATAAATGTTGTTTGGCACCCTTATCATGAATCATATTTTCCACATCACCTACAACGGTGTTTATTGATGTCTGATGCTGATGACTAAAAGTACAGCTGTCATCACTCCTATGAAGCTACAAAAAATATAGGTTTATGTAAAAATATCTCTTTGGATGATCCAAGAATGCATATAACAGATAAAACATATCATTAAGAAATAATATGAATTGTAAATAATGAAGAATTCAAAAATTTCAAATAATGAAAAGCAATTCTGAAAAATCTTCAAAATAGAAAAGCTTAACATATAGAAAATACATTCATTTAGTAAAAAGACAGTAAGAATAAAATAAAAACTTTCAATGGCACTTACATATTATCCCATCAACCATAAAACTGTCGCAAAACAGTATGATTTAATTCCAGTTACGGATAAGCATAAGAACACACTCATAATACCTGTGCTTTTCTCTGATGTAACTCAATAGATTCCTGATGAGCCACCTTTTGTTTTCATGAACAAGGATATAAATTAACCGTTATTGCAGCATTTTTCTTGCATTAAAAAAAAATTTAATTTGGGACTTGCTTTCTACAAAACAGCAGTCAGTAGATTATTTTCAAAATTATGAGGTCCTACCACTGAAAAAGTGTATATTAATGGCCATGATATGATCAGCTGAATACGGATGACAAAACAGTAGATTCCAACAGTTATCTGCTTGAAGTTTGTATTGGTGTAAATTTACCTGGATCTTTGCCAGTTTTCATAGTTTGATGGTAGACAGCTTTCATGGTCAATGATATAATATGTAAATAAACTTCCAACCTTGTTCTGCATATTTAAATCATTAAAATACAAAAAATATATATATTAATTCGATATTTGGTAAAAATCAGATAAGTTTTACATATTATTATACTATATCACTTACAGAAACAAAAACAAAAAAAAAAAAGTCTGCAATTTTTAAAAACAAACTATTTTTCTTATTTAATAATAAAAATATTAACTTCAAAATAACATAAGATTTTAACTAGGCATTAAAATTGAAGAATACTGTGAATATGAAAGAAAATGCTTTTCATTAAAATTTATCAGAAGTATAGCTCCACCGGTTTTTATCAAAAATTGGGCATTTATTATGAAAGAATGGTACTTTATGTTTTATTCATAATATTGTCCATCACTAGACACTACTTTTCCCATCTTTCTGGCAGCATATATACACCGCATCAGAACTCTTCATCTTTCGAGGCTTTGCACAAATCAACCCAATTCTTCGTATCTTCATATGATGTGAAGAGCTGCTCAGACATGCCATGCATCATCAACCAAAACAAGTAGTAATCAGAAGGAGAAGTGTCTGGTGAATACAGCGGGAGGGGAAAACACTTCTAATTTGAGTGTTTCCAAGTAGGTTTTGACCAGCGCCGCAATATGTGGATGAGCATTATCTTGCAGGAAAATAATTTTGTCATGTTTGGAGTAGTAGTGCACACATTTTTCTTTGAGTTCTTGGTACAGTCTCATTAACTGTGTTTGGTAAAGAGCTCCAGTAATTGTTTTGTTCTGTTTCCATAAATGTTGGGCTTGGATGTCAATGTTGAAGCATGCCAAGTGGTCACCATGATTTCTTCTTCTTTGCATGACCATAGTGGAAGCATTTCTCCTCACCAGTGACTATACAATGCAAAAAACTCTTCCATTTATGCCTGGCATGCAGCATTTCACATGTAAAAAATCAATGTTCAATGTTTCTTGACTTCAGTTCAAATGGAGCCAAATTTCCTTGCTTTTGAATCATTCTCAACAATTTTAAATGACATGAAATTTCTTCCTGAGTCACTAATAATGTAAGTGCAAAATCTATTTGCACTTGGCATGAATCTTCATCCAATAATGCTTCCAATTCTGCATCTTCGTACACTTACATCCTTCTGCTACATTTTTTGACTTAGTCAAATTCACCATTCTTAAACTTTTGAAACCACTCACAGCTCTCACTTAAGGCAGAATTACCATATACTTTTACAAGCAATCGATGCACCTCAGGTGCAGATTTCGTCAAATAAAAGAAGTAAATCAAAAGTTCCCGCTAATGACGCTTACTTGACTCAAAATTCAATAATTTTGCACGAAAAAAATATATGATGTTGATACAAAATCGCCAATATTTCAATATTATATTATTAGCAGATGTCCAACCTTAGGATATGATGCTTTACATCAGACAATTTTAACCATAATTTACTGGTGGCATCATTTTTTTGTCAAACGGCAGAGAATTATTTGTACTCCCAATATTTAAATAAAAATATTTAGAAAATGAAATTGTTAATATGATGCCAAATATAAAACTACTAAATTTTTTTCTTTATTTACAGATGAATAAAGTGCATTCCATTTTAGTTGTATCATAATTATTTTATCCACATTATGCATAATAATTAGCCAAAAGTTAATTTGCTCTTAAATTTAAAGTCTGTTAGGACCAAGTATTTCAATTCAAAAAATCTTTTTATCAATTATTTAGCTTCAGCACTTAGTTTAGAACTCAAGTCATTATAACTTTCTTTTTCCCATTAATATCAAATCTGACAGGAATTGGAATCAGCTGCATAGTTCGGCACATTACTGAAATATGAGATAAAAAAACACAGATTGATTCTTACCTACTGCATCCTCTCAGAATACTTGCAAGTTAACTTTATATTATAAAAATTATGATATTATATATAATTTATATAAGAAAAATGAAATGAAATGAATATTTGTATAAATGAAATTTTGAACATATTTTGGATTTTCATTCGAACATTAGCTTACATTACTTCTAGTAAAATACCTTGTATATTTTTTAACAAATATGATCACATATTTTCCAAATGAAATTGCTCAATTTAATATGAACCAAATTAATTACAAAGAAAACGTTGAAGATGTACACTATTCCTGTACACTACTAGTTGTCATTCCAAGCAATCACAGACATGCTCAATCAGACCTGTTAAATATTTGCATAATCGCCTGTAGTAACGGCAACCGCCAGCAATAAAAGGAGGTGCTTTCCTTAGTGGCACCGCAGTTCATTTTAGTTCGAGCCAGAATAGACCTGCCCGGGGGAGAAGCCAGGGGATGAGAGATTCCGGTTCCCACCCTGTTCCGGTTCCCGTCTTGTTGCGGATCCAGTCCTGTTCCGGTTCTCGTCTTGTTCCAGTCCTGTTCCGGTCCTGATCCAGTCCTATTCCAGTTCCAGTCTAAGTCCAAAACACGTAGGAGAGGAAGTCTGAATCCAGCGAATGGAGATATATGCCGAAAGGGCTAGATGGATTTTGTCTTTTAAAAGAAAGTGTTCTTTGCCGTGCCAGCACAGCTGTTACTTTAAAGCACTTTGAATGTTTTCTGCCCAAGATGTTAAGTTTTCGTTTATGATGTTAAGTTTTCATCAGTGTTGAAGTTCCAGTTAAATAAACCTTTATGTTTTAGACAAGGTTTTTGTGTTCTTCAGAAATTTTAGATTCGAAGTCAGATATATCACATAGGATTTAACGGAAAAATCAACATTTGGCATCAAGCGACAGGACATTGTCTGCAAGGTAAGCGACTTTTTTATTTTTGAATCATGGAAGCCTTAAAGTTAGCACGAACTCAATATAGAAGACTATTCAGTAAAGCGTGTAATGAATTTGACAATGAAGAAACTAAATTTAATCAGGAAGAAAAATTAATTAAAATAAAAGTTATTGCCGAGAAAGCTAAAGTTTTGTTTGATACACTGAAATGAAAATACGAGAATTAATGTTTAAAGAAATTACAGATGAGACTTTACTTATTAAGGAAATGGATGAATCTGAATTATATTTTGATAGGTGGAGACTTATGGAAAGTAAAGTAAAAGATGTAACTTCTGGAACCCCGAATGTAACTTTAATTGATCCGTCCTTTATTCAGAATAAAATGTTACATTATCCGAAGATTAAATTGCCTATCTTTGACGGCAACGTGAAGAAATGGCTAGGATTTTGGGGGCAATTCCAAAAGATTGATAAAGATCCTACATTAGATAATAATGATAAATTTGCTTATTTGGCACAGGCTATGGAGAAGAATTCTCCCCGCCGAAGAAATAGTTAAAAGCTTTCCGCCAACTGGCGATAGTTACAAGAGCGCAATCGAAGCATTGCAAACGCGTTTTGGTAACAAAGAATTACTAACGGAGATTTATATTCGTGATTTGCTTAAGCCCTTGTTATTCAAAAACAAGGTACATACTCTTTGCGGAAATATACGTATGAACTCGAATCTAATCTGAGAGCCTTGGAGATATTGGGAATAAATAGAGGCCAAATATTGCGCGAATATTGTATCCCATTGGTAGAATCAGCATTGCCGAATGAAGTACTTAAAAACGTGGTAGAGACTTAGGTTTTCGCGTAAAGGATCAGAAAGGTTTAACCGGCAGAAAACGCCGAGTTAAGAAGAAAGGGAATCTGACCTTGAGCGTCCTTTTATGTTTCTTGCACGGTGAAGTTGAAAGTGAGGAAAGAATTTCTTTAGCAGCTAACTCTTTCAATGTTTTTGATCGATTGGCTCACAGTAATAAGAAAGGGAATTCGGGTTTAAAGATACGAGAACCTCACTTAAAACCTACGGCAGCTGAACTGTTTACTTCTTCTAATGAAGCTAGAAAAGGCTGCATATTTTGTTCCAGTATAAATCATGGTTTTGCGGAATGTTTTCAGGCGCGTAACTTATCATTGTCAGAAAGAGAAGTTTTGGTCCAAAGGACAAGCTCTTGTTATCTGTGTCTGAAATCTGGACATTCTGTCAGGAGGTGTAGATTAAAAACAGTTTGTTTTACATGCGGTAAAAGGCATCATATTTTTCTATGTAAGGGCCATTCACAAATGAGTGAGACAAGGGCAACGGAACAGCCTCCAAATCAGGCTGAAACACTCGCCAACATTTCTTCTAGGTCTCCTAAAGTTTTCCTGCAAACAATAAGAGTAATAATTAATGGAGATAAAAAATCTCGTTCGGCTCGAGCTATAATTGATACTGGTTCTGCAAAGGTCGTATATTCTGCAAAGCGCAGCTCAAAATATGGGTTATAGGTATACGGTAAAGGAA